TTTTTTTTTTTAATGGAGGTACTGGAGATTGAACCCAGGATCTTATGCATGCTAAAAACATGCTCTACCACTGAGCTATAAAATACCCCCCACCCCACCCTCCACCAAGTAGGGGACTTTAATACCCCACTTACATCAACAGGCAGATCATCCAGAAAGTCAGTAATGAAATACTGGACTTTTATGACACTTTTGACCAGATGGACTTTACAGGTAAATACAGAACATTCCATCCAAAAGCAAAAGAATACAATCCATTCTTCCCAAGAGCACATGGAGCAGTCTCCAGGATAGATCACATTAGACCATAAAATAAGTCTTAATAAGTTTAAAAAGACTGAAATCGTATCAAGCATTTTTCTGACCACAATGCTGTTAAACTGGAAATCAATTAGAAGAAGAAACTGGAAAATTCACAAATACATGGAGATTAAACAACATGCTACTGAGCAACCAATGGGTCAAAGAAGAAATCAAAACAGGACTAAAAAAAAAATACCTGAGGCAAATTAAAATGGAAATACAACCAAAACTTTCAGGATGCAGTAAAAGCAGTTCTAAGAGGGAAGCTCAAAGTGATACATGCTTACATCAAGAAACAAGAAAAATCTGAAAAAAAAAAAAACTAGCATAACTTTACAGTTTAAGGAGCTAGAAAAAGAACACATAAAGACCAAAGTTAGTAGAAGGACAGAAATAACAAAAGATCAGAGCAGAAATAAACGAAATAGAGACAAGACAGTAGAAAAGATCCATGAAATGAAGAGCTACTTTTTTGAAAAGATAAATAAAATTGACAAACCTTTTAGCTACTAGACTCACCAAGAAAGAGAAGACTCAAATAAATAAAATCAGAAATGAAAGAGAAGTTACAACTGATACCACAAAACACAAAGGACCAGAAGAGACCACTATGAACAACTATATACCAAGAAATTTGATAACCTTGAAAAAATTGATAAATTCCTAGAAGTGTACAACCAAGAGTGAGTCTTTTAGAAATAGAAAATTTGAATAGACTGATTACAAATAAGGAGAGAGTATTCAAAAACCTCCCCAAAACCCAGAAATCCAGGACCAGACAGCTTCACTGGTGAATTCTACCAAACATTCAAAGACAAACTAGACAAAGACCAGTCCTCTTAAATTCTTCCAAAAAATAGAAGAGAATGCTTCCAAACTCATTTTATGAGGCCAGCACTACCCTGATACCAAAACCAGACAAGGACACCACAAGAAAAGAAAATTACAGGACAGTATCCCTGATGAACAGAGATGCAAAAATCCTCAACAAAGTTATTAGCAAACTGAATTCAACAATATATTAAGCAGGGAGGGTATAGCTCAGTGGTAAAACGCATGCCTAGCATGCACAATGTCCTGGGTTCAATTCCCAGTATCTCCCTTTAAAGAAATAAACAAATAAATAAACCTAAAATTACCTCCCACTAAAAGATTTCTTTAAAAAAAGAAACAAAAAGAAAAAAATTTGAAAAAGGAAACAAGACAAAAAAATCCCATACATTAAAAGGATCATACAACACAATCCAGTGGGATTTATTCAAGGGATGGAAGGGTGGCTCAGTATCAGTAAATCAATGAATGAAATATACCATATTAACAAAGTGAAGAAAAGATTCTATAATCATCTCAGCAGATGCAGAAAAAGCATTTGACAAAATTCAACATTGCTTTATGATAAAAACTCTCAATAAAATGGGTACAGAGGGAATGTAACATAAAGGCCATATATGAAAAACCCATAGCTAACATCATACTCAATGGTGAAAAGCTGAAAACTTTTTCTAAGACCATGAACAAGACAAGGATGCCCAGTCTCACCACTTTTATTTAATATAGTATTCAAACGTCCTAGTCAGAGCAATTATATACAGAAGAAAACCCTAAAGTCTCTACCAAAAGAAAAAAAAATAGAATAGATGAATTTAGTAAAATTGGAGGATACAAAACCAATATACAAAAATCTATTTCTATATAATTTCTATATAATTCTATATAATTTCTATATAATAATGAACTGTCAGAAAGAGAAATTAACAAAACAATCCCATTTCATTTATAATTGCATAAAAAAGAATAAAGGATTAAATTTATCCATGGAAGAGAAAGACCTGTACACTGAAAACTGTAAGACATTAACGAAAGAAACTGAAGATGACACAAGTAAATAGAAAGATGTTCCATGCTCCAGGATTGAAAGAATATTGTTATAATGACCATGCCACTCAAAGCAATCTACAGATTCAATATAATCCCTATCAAAATTCCAATGACATTTTTCACAGAAACAGAAGAAACAATCCTAAAATTTATATGGAACCACAAAAGACCCTAAATAGCTAACAGCATCTTGAGAAAGAAGAACAAAGCTGAAGTCATGATGGTCCCTGATTTCAAACTATATTACAAAGCTATAATAATCAAAACAGTATATTACTAGCATGAAAACAGATACATAGATCAATGAAACAGAACAGAGAGCCCAGAGATAAACCCATGAATATATGGACAATTATTTTTCAACAAAAGAGTCAAGAATATACAATGGAAAAAGGACAGTTTCTTCAATAAATGGCATTGGGAAAAATGGACAGCCACATGCAAAAGAATGAAACTGGATCACTATCTTACACCACACACAAAAATTTTAAGCAAATTAAAGACAAATATATGACCTAAAACTATAAAATTCCTAGGGGAAAACATAGGCAGTAGGCTCTGTGACACTGGCCTTGGCGATTTTTTGGATTTGACATGAAAAGCAAAGGCAGCAAAAACAAACTGAGACTTCACCAAACTAAAAAGCTCCTGTGCAAAAAAGGATACCAACAACAAAATGAAAAGGTTGAAGGGGAGAAAATATTTGCAAATCATGTATCTTGTATTAAGAACTCATACAACACAATAGCAAAAAAGAATCCAATTAAAAATTGGGCAGATTTTAACAGACATTTTTCCAGACATACAGATGGGCAACAGAGATATGAAAAGATGCTCAACATCTCTAATGATCACGTAAATACAAACCAAAACCACAAT